TCAATTCGACTGTGCTATTCACTATTTAATTTAAACTCTTAAACAACTACAAACGTATCAAATCGGTACAAAAACTTTCAGTTTTACTTTCACTTCAAGGGGAGGAGTGTATAACTTCATATGTTTGCCCGTTTTTGCAATTCTAATATGAACTCTAGCTAAACTATCAGCACTAGCAACCCAACAATATATAACCTCTTTGCAGATAGGAAGTGGACCCAGACAAAATAATATGTAAACTCTCTCTCAATATCAACAAAAACACTCACATAACGCCTCTTTGGATGGTTCATGGTCAACCATAGGTTCCGTTGACCTGGTGTGTCTTTAACACCAACACTTTAATTTTAAACTCTTTTGTACCCATTACCGGTTTATGATTTCACCACTGATTTTTATTAAAAGTTGGCACCACGCGCTTACAAACAAAATAACTCCCCTATTTACGCCACTTTCCTCGGCCTCGAAGGCTGAGGGATGAGACCCCCGTTCTCGTCTCGACGAGATCCGGTGACCGACTTTTTGTGTCACGCAAGAAACTCCCAAACTCAGCTACGCTAGCCACAAAAACCTCATCTCACCGGTTTTTATCCTTCCCGAGCGTATGATCATCGGCAGGATAGAATATATACATTTGTTCAGTCTAGCCCAACTTGTACATGACCACAACGACGCTCAAAAGTCCAGCACTTTTCCAACTGGAAAAATATCGACACCGCAGGAAAGGGTGATCGACTTCGATCTCAATGAATAAAATGATATTTTACGTTAACCATCGCAATGGCAGTTATTACAGCTTTCTGCTATTATAGAAACATTAAATTTTTGTATTTGAAGCTTAATTCAAAGAAGCAAAACTCAACTATTAAAAAACCGAATTCAATTCAACCGAATTTCCTGGAAATTGGAAAGTAAGTGAACAAATTATGCTGGGCTCACTTGGCTCTAGAGAAAAATCGATGATGCTTACAAATGGTAGGGAAAGTGAGATTGGCCTTTAATATGGATAATGCGAAGCAGCAGTTTATTGCAGATTACCGGCTCCCGGAGGACACTGTTGCTCATTTTATGACCGTTACGTTCCACGTTCGTCCCAGGAAAATACGTGAAAATTGCAAACAACAAGCCCGGGTTGTGCTGCGAGAAGTGTTTGGTTTCAGCGATAAATTCTGTTTGCACGAAACATAGCTATTAAGCGATACTATGAGAGTTAACCTCAGGACATTATACGAAAAATTACCTCTTCGTGTTATGACCCAATAATTTCGACTGGAATTTCTCAACACGTGGTCTTTGCTGTTATTAAATTATTATCTACCCGTTTGCTTGTATCCTTCATTTATAAATCTCGCTTGATTACCGCTCAAACTAAGACAACTTTGATTTTTGAATCTTTCAAATTCCGCAGTGTGAACGATGAGGAAATAGTCCTTGACAAGCTTTTCCAGGAATCGGCTCCTGTTTTGTTTGTTTCCAGTGATTCTTGATACGAAGTATAACTCAAAATTGTCGGAGGTAGAGTAAAGAATGAGTAGAACGTTTTTTCGGCTTAAAAACTCAATACAAGATACGACCAGCTGACAGAACGATGTTATTATTTTTTCAATAGTTTTTGTCGGAAACAATAAAAGGTAGATAATTGAATAAAATGTGAATATCTGCATTTCTGGTATATTACAATCTTCTTTTTTCCTCAGAATTATGCTTAATATCAATTCGGCACTCCACTCTTCTTTCAAGGACAAAATACAGAGCGGTGTCTGTGCGAAAGTAGCGATTTACATTGGATTTGAATCGCTGGTGATTGAATCCATTTGAAAAAACGTTCTTAGGAAGTTTATTCCACCTAAAGAATATCTGAATTTCTGGTATATTATAATCTTCTTTTTCCCTCAGAATTATGCTTAATATCAATTCGGCACTTCACTCTTTTTTCAAGGACAAAATACAGAGCGGTGTCTGTGCGAAAGTAGCGATTTACATTGGATTTGAATCGCTGGTGATTGAATCCATTTGAAAAAACGTTCTTAGGAAGTTTATTCCACCTAAACGCAATTCTCCAGATGAAAGAGTTCTTAAACAGTGAAGTTCGAGGTGTTCTGAGTTGGACCTCAAAACGATGAGCAGCCACAGTCCATCGCGTATTTCTGATAAGTACTGCTCTTGTAATAAAATGTGCCAAGTAACTTGAACACTTCCCGTGGCAGTATCTATTGAAGAGAGACAAATCTCCAACATTTTTTCGATGTTCCAGGCTGTCAAAGTTGCACGTGATGTTCGCGTCTCCAATTGAGCGGATGGCTCTTTTCTAGATGGAATCCAACAACTTTAGGGTATGTTTGGGGGCAGAGCTCCATACATCAGAACAATACTCCAAAGAAGGTCTGATTTGAGCTTCTTAAAGCATCAGAAGTTGCTGAGGTGTGTACAGTTTTCTAGTTCGGAACAGTGTGCATGCTTTTGGGAAGCAGCCTTTGCAATTCCAGTGATATGATTGTGCCAAGACATATTGGTGTCCATTTTAAACCCCAACAAACTTATCGAAGATGAAAGCGGGATTGTCTGACCTGACATCATTATATCCGGTTCTGAGACATTTATCTTCTTGGAGAAAACCGATGCCTGGGTTTTTGTGGCATTGAATTGCACCTGGTTACTTTCACCACAATTCGAAATCACTTCTAGATCCTCATTGAGATATGCAACCTCCTGCTGCCTATGAAGACGTGCTTCCGTAGCCGATGTCCTGGAATCCAAATGGAATGACGAGACAAGTGTGCTGTCTTCAGCAAAGCAACATTCTGGATTATAAGTCGTTGATTTACAATAAAAAGGGAGTTGGAGACAATATGGATACCTGGCGAACATTAAGATATCCATCGCCGGCCACTCTGTTCACACAAGCAACAGAGTGCCCCAAAATATCATCATACATGGTGCACGAGACCTCTCAAGCAAGGTTGTTTGTACAGAGTCGAACTAAGGAACGACCGATTTTTTTTCTATAATATGCGGCTTGGTATAGGAAAAATTTTTAGATGGAGTGCAGGGACACAAATTAGTAGTTTCTTTATTTGTATCAGTACTTGACATTTTAAAAATTTCAAACTTCGAAATACCGTATACGTACACACCACAGACATTAAAAGGTAACTCACCACTCCGACCCTGTAGCGATATTCCTGAATGAATTCCGACAGCCGATTGCAGTTAAATCTGATTGTCTAACGTAAGGAGGCTTGTTTATTTTACCCAAAAGATTCTCATGTGCGTGGTGATCACGCATCTATCATTGTTTGGGATACTTCACAACAACTACAGAGATACAACGTCATAAATGCGAACTGGATTCATTGTTATTTTGTAGTTAGAACTTGCATTAAACGATTAAAGGGTAATAAACAAAACTAATTTATTAATAACAAAACACACAACATGTAGAAATCATAGTAAATGTTCAATATGTCTACCTTCAGACATTAAGCATGCGTCTAGACGTCGGCGCATTGAGCTACGTATTCGCTCAAATATTCCTGGAGTCTCTCTGATTACCCTGCACGCATCGATGATGCGTCGCGAACAGGAGTACAATAAACCAAATGCTGTAAATGGCCCCAAATGAAGAAATCGGGAGGATTGAGATCCGGGGATCGAGCGGGCCAGTTCTGTGGTCCTCCTCGACCTATCCAGTGATTTGCATAAGTTTCAGTTAAATGCTGACGTGTACTTGACTGAAATGGGCGGGAGCGCCATCATGCATAAAAAACATATCATTTTGTATCAAGATGGAGCAGTGGAAAGCCAAAAACTTTCTTTCCCAAAAATTAATCACTCCTTAAAATATAACCCCTTCAATTAATATTAAAAGATAATGTTTACAATGTTTTTTTACCAAATAGCAATGAACACAACATAATTATTCAATTTTCAAGTAAGTTTTATTATGAACAATAGATATAGATGTATTATACACATTAATTACATTATTATTATCATTCTTGAACATTAATATGAAAAGTACAATCAGAACAACTGCTGATATTGATACCTTGCGATATTGAAGAGCCTTGTAATATATTTGAACTAGCTGAGTTGACAATTTCATGGGAATTAACATTTAATTCTTGAAGTGAAGAGGACGATGCTGTAACGCTGGAGCTAGCTGTTGGGATTATTCTTTCAGCAATAGCCTTTTATAAGAAATAGGATGATCGATGTAACCATCAGCTACTGTTGTAGACTTCCATCTTCCGTGCTTCTTAATATCCGTTATATTTGCTCCTGATTCTGCTAGCAAAGAAGCAGAAGACTTTCTGAAACAGTGACCTGTATATTCCTTTGCTTCCGGGAGGTTCACAAATGCCAACTGTTATGAATTGATCAAATTGAATTTTTTTCTTTCCCCCTTGGCATCAAACCGAAGTTTATTTTGCCACAGAAATTTCGAAATAATTCTATTTACTACGTTTTATATTAATATTTTAGCCGAGTTTCTAACTGAATTGAACAATATGGAAGAGGAACAAGTTGGAGAAGGTAATATCGAAGACTACTTATCTCCCAAGAAATTGTTGTTGAACAAGTTAACATTTGACGAAGCTTCAAAAGGTTTGAACACTTTAGGGAAAGATGAAAGTGGTGTAAGTTAAGCATATCTGATGATGACACTTACAGAAAAGAAGTTAACGGACATATCGATAACAGCAAATTTTAAACATCTTCTCTTTGTGGATCTGAGCGGTAGTCTTCTTAATCTGGAAGCTTTATAAGTCCTAACCCAGCTACCGTTCTTAATTTTTTTGAAAGCTGAGAGGAATATAATTGAATCTGCAAGTTTGCAGTGCATGCCCTATCTTCAAGTTCTGATTCTGAACAAAAATCAGATAACTGAAACAGGCGGGTTGAATGAACCGTGACTTGAAACGTTGGAACTATCTGATAATTCAATTCACACTGCTCAATTTGAACCAGAAAAGCTGAGCAAACTGAAGGTTTCGAGTATGAGCGGTAACCATTCGATAGATGCTTCCGGTACCTATCCAACAGGCTTGGAAAAGTTGTTCCTTGGAAATAACAACATAAGCAGGATAATTTCGGATCTCTCCAAACTGAAAAATCTGAAATACCTCCATTTGAGAGATAATAATATCAGAAAACGATCTGGATTCACCGAACAACTATCACAGCTTACCTATCCGAACTTAAGAAACAATAAAATCAATAAAATTAGACAATTCAGAAAACTGGACTGTTTACCAAATTTGGAAACTATCATAATCATGGAGAACCAAGCGTGCAGAAAAAAAGACGAGCGAGATGAGGATGTTGAAGACGAAGAACACGAAGATGAAATATACGGCGAGGAAGGTGCGCCCGCTGTTGATAAAACTAGATTGGCTTTATTGGTATTATTACCGAATCTTAAACGAATCGATAAGGAAATAGTTACAGCGGAAGAAAGGGAAGCTGCGTTGCTGAAAAAGAGGCAAATCACAGAAGAAATCTTTGAAGAGGAGAGTAGCGAAGATGATACAGAAGTACCTACCACTACAGATTTAACAACGGAATTTACAACTGAAACGGAAATCGATTATGATTTACGTCGTCCAAAACCTACGGAAGTCAGAGGAGAGAATGAATCTGACAACTGATATGTGAGGGGATGACGCAAGTAGAAATGAGAGTAGAAAATTTTGCTTGTAGATGTTGGNGTTGCTATCGAATTTCCTCTAGATGGATTAGATATGAACAATTATGCAGCAGATAATGTGACCCCTTGTCGCTATAATCTATATGCAATTTCGAATCACAGTAGGTCTACCTACAGCGGACATTATACAGCATTCTGCAGACATCCTTATAATGGCATGTGGCACGAATACAATGATTCACAAGTGTCACCAATTTCACAAAAAATCGCTTTTGAGTGGAGATGCATACTTCCTCTTTTATGAAAAGGGGGAAACGAGTTCGCACCTTTGACCGTTTTGTAAAGTTATTTTTGAACTGTTCATTTCAATGTTATGTATTATATAGTTAAATGTTTATAATTTTGTCAAAAAAAATTAAATTGACAGATATTTAAAAAAAAATCTATCAATATCTATGAACATTTTCGTATCCCAGTGTTATTATGGAGGGATCATAATTTTATGCATGAAAGAACAATATAATATTCATGTAACAAAAAAAATGGAAGGAAAATTTCTAAATTCTGAAAAATATACAAGCCAGACCGTCATAGACATATTGAAATGAATTATCATAACTCGAAAAGTACAAAAAAATGCATTAAATATATTGTGATGGTTCTGGTAGATCTTGAGGTCTTCTATCTGAAAAAAATAGTTGTGTCCGTCAATCTTACAAAGTGTTACTCGTTTA